CGGACTACTTAAATTAGACAATAACTAAAGTTGTACGTGTGGCTTGTTGTACACTCTTCATGTAATTATAAATAGTAGGGATTATTAATGTATAATTCTGTATGCAAATACTAATAAAATCCCATCGGCAATGTAAGCTGCCTTAAACAATAAAAAAAAAAAAAAATATAGTCAAAATGATCTACAGAGAAAGTGTTTTTTTTGCTTGTAAATTTATAATATTATAAATATATAATAATCATATAATAATAATATAATAAACATATTTTGCAAAAAACTAAAGTTTCAGTAAAGTAGATATATTCAAACTTTGTCAACAGTAAGATTTGAATCTAAAACCTCTGCATAGTGATTTAGTAATTTAACTACTACATTAAGATTACCAGACTTTTTATAAATAATAAATTAAAACATATTAGTATTAATAATTTGTAAAACTATAAAGTAAATATCAAGTAATTTCTTATTAGAACTAATATATAGTATATTAGTAAAATATAATATAAATAGATTTAATGATCTTAGTATAGTAGTTAGATTGCCAGACTACTATATAATAGATTTGAAGTTCAAATTTTACTGTTAATGAATTTGAATAATTTGCTAGACCTTGTAATATATTATAGTAAATCCTAGTTAGTTTTTAGAAAAGTTATATTTTTTTGTTAGTAGTCTGTCTATTTTAAAATTTAGAGTACTATTTAAATTATCTATGATTATAATTTTAAAATTTGTTATATTTAAAATTAGAGTAAGATATATAAGTATTTTCTTATATTATTATTTTTTTCTTGAGTTAGAAAGTAAATTTGAACAAGTTATTTTTAAAATAGAGATCTATTTGAATAAAAAAATTTTTGAAAATTTGGATTTTTTTTTTTTTTTATGCAGAATATGTCTTTTTATTAAATAAAATAACAATTATACAAATTATATATCAAAGTTTAGAAATTTTGCTATGTTATCTTTGTCTAAGCTAGACTTTTTAAGTGATAAGTACTTTTGTAAAGTTTTAAGTATTCTATATAGTTTAGATTTAGCAAAGTCTAAGATAGTACTTAGAGAATCTTTTAGTTATTCTATTTTGTTATAATATACCAGTACTAGATTTTATAGATAATATTAATATTAATACATAGAGTAGCTTTTTATTTTAGAGAATGAGTAATATTAGTTGCAGTAAAAATTTTATTAAGAGAGGAGAATTAAGAGTTAGTTTCTATGAGTTTTAAGACATTGTAGCTCATAGTCTAAAATATCTAACTGATCTCATAACTAAAAGCAAAGTGTTCTGAAGTTTGTAGAAAGTCTTGGCAATTAGAGCAGCATTCATTTTGGTTCTAAAATATGTTTTAGTCAGTAACTTAGGGGAAGAGCTTTATAGATAAGCTACTAGAAGATATCTATTTTTTTGTTTAATATATGTTTTGATTTTATCTAAGAAAAGAGATTATTGTTATTATAAGAGAGTTTCATAAGGTTAGAGGTTTCTCTAAGTAGATATTGCTATAGCAAAAGTTCAGTTACTTTTTTAACTATAAACTCTGCTTCTAATATGTATTCATTTTAAGATATTCTAAAATCTAGAGCTAGTTGTCTGTGGAGTTAACTTTGTCTTAGAGTCTTTTTTATATCCTAAAGTAAGGTTTTCATCTCTTAGGCTATTCTTTAGATCTAGTAGAGTTTTGATTGAATGCAAAATAAGTTAAGATATCTCTTGTAGCATGAGTGCTGTTCAAGATTAGGTTTCTTTTTATTTTTATTTATAGACAGTTGCTTGTAAGAAGTTTGATTCAAATAGAGATTAATTTAGTATCAATAATATTTTTAAGAATTAGTACTGAAAGTCTTCTTTAGTTCAGATTAATCTGAAAGATCAAGTAGTGAGGAAGGAACTTAGATTTGTTCTTGATCTAATTTATTGATTTTCTCAAGCTATTTTCTACTAGATAGAAGTAAATAAGTAGTATATCATATTTTAGAGATTAGAAATAATTTTGTGATTAGAATTTTGCCTTTAAGAAACAAATTTCTAGTTGATAGATTGTTGATGTAGTTCTTTATTAATTTGGTTATTTTTGTCTATAGAGCTTTTTTTGAAACACCTTTGATATCTACTTTATAGCCTAGAATTGAGAGTATATCTGTGTTTTAGGCAAAGATTTTGAATTTGTTTTGATTAGAAAGCTCAATTCTATAAGTATTGTTTGTGAAAAGAACCAAAATAGATTTTGATTTATTGATTTTAGAGCTAGAAGCAGTTTCATATTTGCTGAGAATATTATTGAGAGATTCTCAGTCTGAAGATAAGCTAATTCTAATTATTAAATTATCTGCATAGGCTATCATTTTGAAAAATAAGTTTAATACTCTGATGCTATTAAGGTTTGTCTGTAGAGATTAGAAGAGAGGGTTTATAGCTAGAATATATAGAAGAGGAGAAAAAAAATTATCCTGTCTAACCTTTTTCTCTACTCTAAAAAATTTAAAGAAGTATCTTGTATCTATAATATAAACTTGTTGTAGACTAAAGAGAGAGTTGATTATCTTGCTGAACTTGAAATCAAAGTTCATTTTGTTCAGGACAATTTTTATAAATTGATAGCTGACTTTGTTAAAAGCTTTTTGCTGATCAAAAAAGAGTAACTAGTTTTGTTTAATTTGGTCAAATTAGTTTCTTAGAGTAGTAAAAATATCCAAAGCTATGTTAGTAATAGATTTGCTAGTAATAAAAGCTTATTAATAAGGAGAAATTATATCATTGCAGACAAAATTTAGTCTATTAGCAAAGATTTTTATGAAAATCTTAGCATTGCTATTAACAAGTGAAATAGGTCTCTAATTACCAATATGAGCTATATACTAAGAAAAGTAACCAAATTAATAAAAAAGTTTTTTTTAAAATAACAAATGTTTTAGATCAGATGATCAAATCAATATCTATTTTACTTAAAAACTTTTTTTCAAAAAAAAAATTAATTTGGTCTCTTTTCTCAGTACACAGCCTATATTCTCTAGGTTATTTGATTTTTTAGAAATAAGAGTAATTATATTTTTGCTTTATGAGAGAGGTATTTGTCCTGTAGTTAAAACATTGTTGAAAAGCTTAAAGAGTAAAAGAAGTAAAAGGTCTTTTAGAGATTTGTAGAATTTATAGATAGGCTTATCTAGTTCAGGAGATTTGTTGTTTAGGAGGTTATCTATGATATTACTGAATTCTTCTTCAGTGATAGATTTAATTAGCATAGTGTTTTGATCTTGTAAGATGAAAAGAGCATTTCTAAGTAACTCTTCTGCTACTTAAAGATCAATTAGTTTAGCTTTGTAAAGTAATTTGTATAAGTTTTTAATATATTCTAAAATGTCTGGTTAAAAATTAAAGGTAAAGTTATTTAGGTTTCTGACTTTAGTACTATATAAAGAGAAGTATCTAATTTTGTATCAAGATAAAAAGAATTTAGTTGATTTTTCTCCTTTTTTAATTTATTTAGTATTTGATCTAATTTGCTATTTTTTAAAGAGATATTATAGTTCCTCTTAGATTTGGTCTTTAATTTCTTTTAATAAGGTTTGGAGGTTTGTGAACCTAGAGTTATTTGCTATCTTATTGTTCAATTAGATAGCCTATTCTGCAAGATTTAGATTTTTCTTTTTAGGAGCTATTTAAGTTTAGCTAATCAAATTATTGATTGTATTATATATTTGTAAAAATTCTACTTGCTAATATCTTTATAGCTTTGAAAATTTTTTGTAATTTTGTTTTTAATTTCAAAGTCAAGTAGTTTTTTTGAATTAAGTTTCCAGATTGTAGCTTAAGTTGGTGTAGACTAATACTAGATTGTATATTCTATAAGAAAGTGGTTTGAGTTACCAAAACATGTTAGAGTTTTTCTTTCTAAGTAGCTAAAGTTTGCATTAATAAAGGTATAGTCTAGTTGAGTTGCTATTTATTGGTTACTCTGTGTATTTTGGTAAAAAATAATAAATAGCTCATTCTCAAAGTTGTTAGCTAAATTAGTGAATTCAGTTATTAAGTTTTATAATATTACTCTAAAAAGATTATTTTGAGCTAGTGCTTAGCTTATTTTATCTTTTTGAAGATTTAGATTAACATTAAAGTCTTTAGCAAGTATATTTATAAGTCTTTGTCTATTTGAGATAACTAGTTTGAGAAAAATATTTGTCTGTTCCTCAGGTTTGAGGAAGCATAGACATTTATGAATGAGAAGTTAAGATTGTTAACTGATATTTTGATATAAATTACTCAGTCTTCTAGAATTAATTTTGTTTTTTTAATCTTAATATTTTTTTTTTAGCTAGTATTGCAGTTTTAGTAGTCTAGAAAGAGTAAAAACTCTATTGTTGAGCTAAGAAATTTCTAGTATTAGAATTATTTAAATTAGTTTCTTGAATTACAATTATCTAAGTTATATGATTTTAGTAAAATTAAAGATTTGTGAGCTTTAGTCTTGTTGTTAAGGCCTTTCATATTTAGAGTTGCTATTTTGATGTATTTCATAGATAGTATAATAGGAGGATAGATTTATGATAAGAGTTGAAATCTCTTAGTGTAGTATTGCTTCTGAAGGAAGTATTCTTGTATTCTGTATAGTAGTATTTTCTCCTAAATATAAAGATCTTTTGATTTCTGCTTTATTTTTAGAAATTGCTAGAGTAAACTTTTTTCTAAGACTTAAGGCTTACAATCTATATTTATTATATCTGAGTCTAGATCAGATTTTGTAATAGTGTTGTTATTAGTTTTTGTATTTGAAGAGAAATCTAGTAAAATTATGTTGTGTTTATTTAGTTATAATAATCCAGTAATTTCATTAGAAACATTGGGAAATTCACGACTTGTAGCATTGAATCTTGGAGGAATTTCACTGAATAGTCAAGATCATTTAAACGCACTTTATAATTACATTCAGTCCTTAGCATTCTCAAAAGTAAAATATTTTAGCATCGATCATTGCAATTTAGATGGTAAAGCATTATCAATGATACTTTCATTCATAACAACATCTCCAAATTATGAAAACATCAGAGTTTGGGCAGGTGGAAATTATGTATCAAGATCTCTTATAGGTCATACTGAATTTTGTAATGCTATTTCAAATAATTGGACACCAGTTTGGCTTTCTCTAGAGGATACAATATTTGGATCAAACGTTGAACAAATTGTTGATATATTAACATCATTGCGAGAAAATACAGTAATCGAATATTTAGATTTATCATACCCACAATTTAAAGTTAATAAGAATGTTGCATTTAGTCTACAAGATTTCATGATAGCAGAAAAGGCTTGTGCAGCTATAGGAAAGATAATGAGAGCAAACGGACATATCAAAGAATTAATTTTGCAAGGAAATCCCGATAAACAATGGGGGCCATCACTTGGAGCTAACTTATCCGGATTGGAAGTTAATAAGAGTTTGGAAAGGTTGAATATAAGCGGGAACTCTATAAGTGAATCAGATTTGAGGTCATTAAGCGAAATTTTAGTGCTAAATTCAAAACTAAAATATTTGAACATAGATGAAAATATGGTAAGTACCTATCCATTTCTGACTAAAACCAATCGGGCAATAAACATGATTATACCTTAACGTTAACTAATAATGTTAACCATCACAATACAGGCATATAAATTATCAGTTCAGGATTTTAAAGGGTGCGGAGATGATTTATTGTTAGAATTTTCAAACGAAACTTTTGGTAAACGGAGAGACCCTAGAATGAGTGAGCCGGTGTCACCTACAAAAAGAAATACTACATGGAAGAAATCTCAGGTCGAAAATGGAAATAGTAGGAATGCCATATTTCTTGAAAATATGAATAAAATTGAATCAGTAAGCAAGGTTAAAGTTGAAGAAGATAGAATGTTTCAGAGGAATAAATCTTATTACATTTAGCAATTTTTTCTGTTAAAGTAATTTATTTGGTTATTGGCCAGGTCAAACTATTAAAATGACTAAATTACCAATTGCTTTGGTCGGAAAAATTGCCAACACCGAATTTAGCATATATAATATAATTATAATGTTTATCTATTGAACCTTATGTAATCTGTTACCTATTGATATTAAACTTTTACTGTTATTATCGTTATTTACTTAAGATTTCAATCTTAAGACAATAGAAATTTTCAAATCGAATTTCATTTTCCTATAAAAATCGGTAATTAGCACCGAATTTTATCTATTTATGCTTTGAACTAACATTACAACTGTTTTCATAAATTCTGGGACACCTAAAAAATTTATTCGTTTCCCGAAATTTCTTCGATTTCGTTCTGTGAATTATCTAACTTTTCGGAAACTACGTCGCTATCTCCGGAACTTCGGTCCGGAGACAGCGATGTAGTTTCCGAAGAACGAAATCGAAGAAATTTCGGGAAACGAATAAATTTTTTAGGTGTCCCAGAATTTACGAAAACAGCTGCAATTGAGTTAGCCATGCTTTTCGCTCGATAAACTAAAATCGTTAGTCTTATGATCACTCTCAACATTGATAAATCGGGTTTGGGTCAAAATCCTGACAAACATTGACTAACACTATGCTAACCCTAACCCTAATGCAGGCTAATCTGTCGGGATTTGACCTTGTCGGGATTTTGACCGGCTCCCGATAAATCAGGATTGACATGTAAAAATTTTTTAATGAATATCATAACGATAAACAATTTAAAAAATTCGCTTTAGTATATCAATCATTTGTGCATTTCTTGTAACTTCCGCGTGTATAAAAAATCATGGTAAAAAAAAAAAGGGGGATCTTAAAAAAGAACCTCAAGATCGACTTCTCTTCATAATATAGCGATAGTATTTGGAGATGTTCTGTCGATCTTTTTTAGAACGGCATGTAGATTTTTTTTTTTTAACAGTGATCAATCAAAAACGTATTTTTATTTTTCTTAGTGACAACGCATATAAAAGGTTTTAGTATGAGTCATATAAAGTAAAGATTTCGTGAAATAAAATCAATTAAATTTGGATCGCTTTTTTTCTAAAAAAAGCATTTTTTCGGTCGATTGCAGAAGTTAGCAAATAGTGAATCACGATTTAGTGCAATGTTCCATGAAATTCAACAAAACAAAATTCATTTTTAAAAATTTGCATAAGAAAATTAAAATTATTAATAAGAACAGGATAATAGTTAGACCAATCAATTTTTTAAAACATGTGACTGTCAAATACAACTAAATTGATAAAAAATTACTGAATTCGGATATAAATAATATGGGGTTATTTTTTTTATAGCGATCCTAGGATTATTATAAAGGTTTGAGAACAAATTTTGCTTCCGGTTCGGAACACTAATCCTTACCCGAATCTTTGACATCAACAGTACTTTTTTGAATTTCTAAGATTGAACTCATTGGAATATAAATTTTTAAATTTTCAGAAATAAGTTTTACCGCCGAATCCATCAGAAGAGATTTTATATATTCTTTCTATAAATAGAAAATTATATTATGATATCAAATTAATTCGTAAAAACTAGAGTATTAAATGATGAATACAAAGTTTACTTGAAGACTGTTATCAATAACTCGGATTTCGGAAGCTTTAATAAACTTTTTTATATCTTGAAAATATTTCTTAATTGGTCCTTGATCATCTAATAAATCTCTGTCATCCGACCATATGATAAATGGTAATTGTATTCCAAGTGATATGTTATTTCTTTGGCGAAGTGATCTTGCTGCATGGATTACGCTTAATACTGTCTATTGTTAGACATATCAAGAAACATCGAATATATCATAACCATATCAACAGATCACAAACGAAAAAAATAGGTTAATTAAATCAAACATTACTTTCATATCATCCTCAATAATATGGTCCTTCTGATTTTTAAAATCTGCAATTTTCGGATATCTTGATACCATTATCGATTCTGGGATTCCCAACTTAATACTCTCATCACATCTTTCAACAAGACTCTGCCATAACTCCTATTATAATCATTATATCATTAACAATGATTAAAATATGGGATCTTTGCTAGGAAAATCAAGCTTCGGGACTATATAAAATTTACAGGCAAAATTTTATATAGTCCCGAAGCTTGATTTTCATATTACAAATTATACTAGGACTCACCTCTGTTATAAACGGCATAAAAGGATGTAACAGTCTAAGTGAAGTATCCAAACAAGTTTCCAATACTTTTAAAGTTATTTGCTGGGCCTTTTTAATGGTTAAATATGAATTAAAATCCATTAATAAATTAAAATTAATAATATAAAAAAAAATAAATAAATCACCTTTGTGTCAATATTACCCGAATTCTCATATAAAATAGGCTTAATAAATTCTAAATAAATCTTGCATAAATCTTCAACAATGAAATCCTTTACTGCCTTTGTAACTTCAAATAATTCAAACTTTTCAAATCCCAGTTGGCACTTTGTTACTGTATCAGACAATCTTGATAATATGTATCTATCTACCATTGTTAAATGATTTTTAAATTCTAAAAGTGAATTACAAGAAACTGTTTCCGTAATGTGTGTTATATGATTTAAAGATGAGAAACGATCATTAGAGAATTTAAATAAATTCCAAAGTTTGTTACAAAAATGTAGGATCGATGTAATATAAGAGATGTTAAGATTGATTTGTCTGGTCTATTTTTTTTTTTTTTTTTAGGGAAAAAAAATTAAAATTGTATCCCGCAAAAAATTGGTATGATCAT